GTCTTAGTTCTTCTCGATTTCACTAATGCATTTAACTCGGTAGATTTTGACCTGTTGCTGTGTATCCTGCGTTCCATAAACTTTTCATTGTCTGCCCTTTCATGGTTTGGGTCTTATCTGTTTGGCCGGCGTCAATTGGTGAAGGTGGATGATAGTCGTTCCGATTGGGCTGAGGTACTGACGGGTGTCCCTCAGGGTGGGGTCTTGTCGCCCCTACTCTTTTCTCTTTTTATTAATGGTATTACTAAATCTCTCTCCTCCTCATTTCATTTATATGCTGATGACCTTCAATTGTATACTGCTGCCCCTATCGACAGCTTAGCTAATGCTATCAATAGTATTAATAATGACCTCTGCGCTATCGCCGAATGGTCAAAAAGCTTCGGCCTTTTAATCAATGCTAATAAATCCCAAGCTATTATTATTGGCAGTCATCACTACATCTGTAGTCTAAGATCTGTGTATATTCCTCATGTTGTCTACGATGGCAATCACATTCCTTTCTCTTCTACTGTGAAGAACCTGGGAATTATTATGGATCAGACTCTCTCATGGGGGCCACACATTGGTGAGATAAGTCGTAGACTTTTTCTTCACTCCACTCGCATAGACGCCTTCAGTTTTTTCTGCCTTTGCGTACTAAATTGCTGCTAGCCCACTCTCTTCTTCTTCCCTTCCTGGACTACGCCGACAGTGCTTTCCTAGATCCTTCAGTAGAGTTACTTGACAAACTGGAGCGCTTGCAAAACCTTTGCATAAGATTCATCTTCGGTTTACGTAAGTTTGATCATGTCTCTGTCTATCGTAAGCAACTTAATTGGCTTCCTATTCGTGACCGTCGTAACATCCATTTGCTTACCCTTTTATATCAGATCCTTTACAACTCTAGTTCGCCCATGTACCTGCAGGAAAGATTCCGGCTACGGACTGATGACCGTCTTCGTTCCAGTCATAATCTAGTTTTGGCAATACCGTGTCATACGAGTCATTGTTATACTAACTCCTTTACAATGCAGTCTGCTCGACTTTGGAATGCTTTGCCGACGGAGGTCAGATTGTCTTCATCGGTTTACTCTTTTAAGGCTCGCCTTAAAAAACTTTGGAGTCACACTGCAGATGCGCTGTTTTAGTATTCTTCATATATATTTTTTTTTTATAGTAATATTGTTTTTTATATATTTCTGCTGTTACTATTTATACATTTGTTATTTTATTATTATTATTTTATATATATGTAGGTATATGTATTTATATATTATACTTAAATATTTATTTAATATTCTAGTTGTTATATATTATAGTTGATGTCGATGTCGATGTCGGTTGGACTCCATTTTCCGCACTTAGCCTCTCATTCGGGCCGTTGTGCGTGTAGAGCCAGGCTACTAGCGTAGCCAGCCAAGCTCCTCCCAGAAGCGCAGAAGTCTCCTGGTGTCTTCGCAGGCTTCTCGGAGCGACCTCACCGTTCCGAGGATTTGATTTCGTTGTGTGGTCACTGCTTCGCACTCCAGGATTACGTGAGCGGCCGTTTCCTCGGCTACAAAGCAGCCCCGGCATAGGGGACTGTCTGTAGCACCTATTGTGTACAAATGTCTGTTTAAGGGACAGTGGCCCGTCATTGTCCCGATCATTGTTTTTATGTTATGCCTGTCCAGATTTATTAGGCGTTTTGTTATTCGTTGATTTGTTCTGGGAATTGCCACTTTTGATTGTTTACAATCGGTGGTTTGTTTCCATCTTTGGTTTTGTATCTCAGTGGATCTTTGGCGAATCCAGGATCGAAATTGTGAGAATGGTATTGGCAAGAGGGGGGAGGGGGGGATTGGGGGAAGGGGCCTGGTATCGTCATGCCTGATCCTCTTCTCGCCAATTCGTCCGCGGCATCATTTCCATATGATCCACTGTGCCCTTTTATCCACTGGATGGTTACACCGTTGTGCTCTGCCACTTTATCCATGATATTGTGACATTCGATTATTAATCTGTTGTTTGATTTCCTGTTCTGTAGTGCTTTTAGCACGGCTGCACTGTCCGATATAAATTTTAAGTTGAAGTTGTTGACACCTAACTTTAGCACTGTTCGTGCTGCCTCAGTCAGGGCAACGCATTCACATTGGAAAATCGAACTGTGTGGGCCGAGTGGTATGTATAAGTTCATGTTGAGGTCAAGGGAGTGGGCTCCTGCTCCTGAACCGTTATGTGTTTTGGAGCCATCTGTGTATATTCGCAGTTCATTTACAGCAGATTGGTCTTGTTCCTCCTGATTCATTTGTATTTGGTATTTTCTGTTAAATGAGTGATAAGTTTGAGTTCTGTCACACGGAGCTGCAATCAAAGGTTCGTGTTCGATTGCTTGGTTCAGGATGTGAGTGTGAGAACTATTATGGTTTTTGCCCCATAGACCAAGATGGTATAGCCTTATGGCAGCTATGGCTGCCTCCTGTTGTATGTACAAATCGAGGGGTGTTATATTGAGGGCTATTTCAATTGCTGTTGTTGGGGTAGTTTTCATACATCCCGTGATTGCAGAGCATGCAAGTCTTTGAAAGGACCTTAGTTTGTTGACTGTGGTCGTGAGTTTCGACCTTGTCCACCAAACCAAGGCCCCGTACACGAGCATTGGTCTTATCACAGCTGTGTATAGCCAGAGTGTTATTTTTGGTGTAATACCCCACTTATTTCCTAGCATCTTTCGACATTGATAAAATGCTATGGTACTTTTGTTAATTTTGTGGTCAAGATGTTTGTTCCATAGGAGCTTACTGTCCAGTATAACTCCCAGGTACTTGACTTCTTCTTTTAGATTAAGGTCTGTGTTAAAGAGTTTCGGTGTTCTGAAGGTACCAGGAGCTCTTTTGTTAGTAAACATGATTAGTTCTGTTTTGGAAGGATTTACCGAGAGTTCGTGGTTTTTACACCATCTCTCTACAGTTCTGAAGGCTTCTCTCATGCGGTCGCATAGAGTTCCCTCAAATTTTCCTGTTATCAGTATGGCAATATCGTCAGCATACCCTACCGTGTAGAGGTCGTTGTCGTTGAGCTCCTCAATGAGTTCGTTAACAACTAGATTCCAAAGAAGAGGTGATAGGACCCCTCCTTGTGGACATCCTCTGCTCACGATACCTCGTGTGTTAGTGTTAACGGTAAACTGAATTGCACGGTTCTTTAGCATGTTGCTTATCCATTCTATGATAGTTAAAGGTACTCCATGTATGGCAAGAGCCCGGCTTATGCTGGTAAAATTCGTTTTATCAAAGGCCCCTTCGATGTCTATAAAGGCACCTAGTGTTGGCTGCTTTGAGTGTAACGAGTTACCAATTCGGGTTACTACGCTGTGGAGTGCTGATTCCGTTGATTTACCTTCGCTGTAGGCATGTTGGTTAGGGTGGAGTGGTTTGTTTGTGGACACAAGGTCTCTGATTTCTTTGTCGCATAGTCTCTCCAAAGTTTTTAGTAAAAACGATGTGAGACTAATTGGTCGAAAGGATTTGGCCTGCGTATAATCACCTCTGCCTGGTTTTGGGATGAAGATTATTTTCACTTCGCGCCATTTCAAAGGTATGTACCGGTGTGCCAGACATGCTCGAAATAGCTGAACGAGTTGTTCAGCTATTATGTCTCCGCTCCATCTAAGGAGGGCCGGAAAGACACCATCTAGTCCCGCTGCTTTGAAAGGCAGGAATGTGTTGATTGCCCATATTAGTTTTTCTTTGTCTATTATTTTGCAAGCTACCTCCCAGTCCGAGCTGCTGGTTGTCCTGTCTTCCTGTGAATTCCATGAGTGGTTATTGTCCACTAGAAATCCTGGGAAGTGAGTTGACAGTAGTATTTCGCAAGTTTCTGTGTCATTTGTTGTGTAGCTGTTATCTGGTTTTTTTAAACAGCCTATTGTGTGGTCTTTCTCCTTGGAGAGACACGCTTTTACCTTGACTGCTTGGTTGTTGTTTTCTATATTAGTGCAGAATCGCCTCCAACATTCCTGTCGTCGTTGGCGAATTAGTTTTTTGTATTTTTTTCTCGAAGTAGTGTATTTGTCCCAATCACTTTGTGACCTACTATTCATGGCTACGTTGAAAGTTTTCCTTAACCTCCGTCGGTGTCTCTCTAGTTCGAGACACCACCAGTGTTGCCTACCTCTGCTTTTGGGTACGGTGAGAGGGCAAGACTGTTCGTAGCACGTGGTTAGTATGGACGTTATGTTGTCTGCGTGGTTGTCTATTTCCGTTTTGTCTAGTTTTATTGAGAGTACGGATTGTTTTGCTACGTACGTTTTGACCAATCCCAGGAATTTGAATTTGTCAGTGTTACGAGGAATCCGTCTCGGCTGTGGTTTAGGTAACTGCATGTCGATTGTAAAGCGGATCCATCTATGATCAGAGCATGATAGTTCGTTGGACACGTGCCAGTCACGAACATGCTCCGAGATGCCTGTCGATGTCAGTGTTATGTCTATGATGGTTTGTGAACGAGCGTTTATGAATGTAGGTTCGGAACCTTTATTGAGCAGTGTGAGGTTATTGCTAAAAATAAAAAGAGCTAAGTCCTCACCTCTGTTGTTGGTCTTACTGTTTCCCCATAGCGTGTGGTGCGCGTTGGAGTCAGCGGCGACGACCAGTTCCAGCTTCTCCCTCTCGCAGTACTCGACCAGCTGGCTGAGTTCTGGAGGTGGCACCTCCCCGTCGCTCGGCAGGTATGCTGAGGCGAGGACGATGTCCGGGAGATTTTGTTCTACAGTGGTTATTCTGACTGTTGTTAGATCCCTTGAACAGAATTCGTTTATTAATAATGTTGGAACATGTTTTGGTAGGAAAATACAAGTCCTAGGTTTACTTACGGAGGTATCCAGTAGCAGTTTTCCTCCGATGTTGCCGAGACCACAGATTTTGTTGTTTCTGATCCACGGCTCTTGGATCGGGGCTATGGTCTGGGTGTTATTTTCCAGCACTCTGCGTAGTGAGGCCGTCGCAGTTTGGCTGTGCTGGAGGTTTCCCTGCAGGAGTTTAGTCTTCCCGTAGGGGGGAGGAGTAGAGGAGGCTGTCGCTGGCCTCGCTCTCTCCTCCCCCTGCCGGAAAGCACTCTTCATCCGAGATAATTCTCGGTGAAGATGGTATCTGCACCTCCATTGCCGTCGGAGCCTCTACGTCCTCCGCCGCAGTCTCGACATCCATTGCCGACGTTGTCGGCTCGGGTTCCGTCTCCTGCTCGCCAAGGCTTGTGGCCTCCGTCTGTTTCGAGGCGGCTGCAGGTGTTTGATGGGAGACATCTGTGTCCAGGAAGCGAACATAGATGTTCCCCATCAGGTAGTAGACTCTTCTGTCCTGGGCCTTCAGCACTTCTACATCCTTTTCAGGAATACGAAAGAATAGGCAGGTTCCTGGTGGATCTTCTCTGATTCTTTCGTGTGTCAGGGTCCAGGAGTTGATGCTCATGTTGCTGTTTTGCCCCGCGAGAAGTTCACGTAGCTCTGCCAAGTCCTCGATTTCTCCAGGTACAAAGAGCAGGCACGGCACCTTCTTCGGTATGGCTGACTGTGGTCTAACGACTAGCCTCGAACCTTCTACTGGTGAGACGATGTCTGTGATGCTTTTCTCAAGCCAGGCTAAGGTGTAGGCATCCTCACACCATGTTTTGAGGACACCATCTGCGAAGTGAGCCTTGCCACGGAATTTGAGGTCTTTTCTTGTTGCTGCAGGGATCTTGAGGTCGGCTTTGACTTGGAGCCTAAGCTTCCCTTCGATCTGCCTTCTGAGATCCTCCGCTTGGTCTTGTATGAGGTCGGTAAATGGTTCTACCATGACTGCAACGCACAGTTCGTTTGCCAGGAAGCTGGCAGCTGCTTCAGCGTATGACGTCGGTCCCCTACCCATCACTCCTGCGGTTCTGGGTTTTTTGCCCTCCCCTTTGGGTGTGACCGTGTCCTCCGGACGAGTGCGTTTCTGCGGTCTTGGTGCGGTCTTATCGTCGTATGTCCTGGTCTTTTTCCGGCCTCTGGGCTTCATGCTGCGTTTATGAAGGCCAACCGTCAGTGCAGCACTTGTCGAGGCAGTTGCAGGTGCTTTGGTCCCACTTGTTGACGCCTCCCCTTTCGGTTTGGTCGCCTTTGGGCAGGTACCGAGCTGATGCCTTACGGCATCCACTGCTACTGCGCGTTGTGCTGCTGCTTTGGCTCTGGCCTTCATGCGCCGCTTTTTTGAGGCCGACTTGGGTTTGGTGACGGTCTTCCATTGACCCGGTTTCGTGGGCGATTGGATTGCGTCTTTTAGTGACGACAGATCCAATGCCGGGGTGTCAGAACCGTTGTCGGATGCAGCTTTGTTTGGCCTCTCTTCCGCCTCCGCTTTCATCAGTGCTGCCGAGTTCCCTTCGGAAGACGCACTCACTGACGCAGCCCTGTTGGGCGCATCTCGGAGTGCGCTTGTCCTTGGTTCCCCCATAGCAGCGCCTGTCTTTGGCGGAGGGTTAGGAGTTGCCTTTGGAGGCGCATCTAAGGCCAACGCTGGAGGCACTTTACGGGACGCAGCCTGGGTTGGCGCATTCCGCTCAGTGCCCTTCCTCAACGTGTCCTCAGACACAGCCTTTTTCACCGCATCTTTTACCGACATTGACGGTGTGTCACGGGACGCAGCCTGAGTTGGCGCATTCCATTCGACAGTCCTCCTTGTCGGATCTTGTGACGCAGCTTTGCTCGGCGCATCCTTGGTTGCCTTGGAAGGTACGTTTCTGGACGCAGCCTGGTCAGGCGCATCCCGGTCGGTAGCCTTCCTCAACAAATCCTTGGACGCAGCTTTGCTTGGCGCATCTTTGTTTGTGGCTTGCCCTTGGGCGTCGAAGGACGCGGCCTTGGGCAGTGGTGGTCGTTTTGGCGCATCTTGGGACGCAGCCTTTTCTGGTTGTTGGTTTGGCGCATTCGAGGACGCAGCCTGTGTCGGTTTTTTGTTTTTGAGTTTTTTAGTCTCTGTATCCATGAGTGGTTTTTTTATTTTACTTAACCATGGGAGCTCTCCACCCACCACGGAGCCCTCACGTCGGGGACGTCATTCGTTCCAGCGAATGATCGTCAGAGCTACTCCCTTGGTATAGGTACAGCAGGTTGGAAAGTAGACGAGTCCGCACGCAGCGAAACACAACGAGGACACCTACATCACGAGACAATGATGCAGGCTAGCCCCGAGGCGCCGCGCCACGCCGACTGCCACCCCCCAGCCCACCAAACCTCGCTTGACTGCCCGCTTATGGGGAATCGCAGCCGATTGATCGTGGTTAGCTACTCCACGACCTCCCGTTTGAGAGGAAATCCAGACCAAAGAGGTGTGTTGTGAACAGTGTACAACAACAGCCGGCACACTGCTGCACTCAACCACCAGGACTCCTTCATCCCTCCGTACGGGTCTCCGCGCACGGCACAAACACGCGGGAGGTCATTACTGTCCACCTTCTGTTTTTTGGTCGATGATGGACACGCAAGGACATGACCTCTCCATCCCTGCATTGGTCGCCCGGTAGTTTTTGTTACGTCTATTTCATAGGGAACTAGACCAATAACAGGGCGGCAACCTCGTGAAGGGTATCTACCGCACTTGCCTTAAGGATCTACACGACTTGCGCTCTCCCTTAAGACCACACCCCTCTACCTCTCTGAAGGAGATGGTAGAGTAGGCCTGTGTTTATATCTCATCAGTCTTGAGATATTCCCACAAGCCCGCCCCTATATTATAGTTATATAATGCGTTTGCTTCTTTTTCCTTTGTTATTATTGTCATGTATATACTTATATAGTCCCACCACTCCACAATTCCTTTCAGTCATTCAAAGGTTGACTGGAAGAAATCCCTCATTTGGGATAAGTCCGCCATTGTACATATATTTTTTTTAAGATCGTGTATCTTTAGTTAATTTAAATGTATTTATTGTGCAATAAAGTGTTACAAACAAAACAAACTTTCTTTAAAATATTATCTTCATTCTTACGCATTTTTTTCTTATAAATGATAATGGAATTGTGCACCCGCCCTAACGGTTTACGCTGGCGGGGCACTAGTAGAGGATGATAAGATGGGCATGAGGTCAGGTCAGTTGGCCCTTCGTCGCAAATTCTCCATGAATTTATCATGATGGTTTCCAGGGAACCACGCGGATGTCAACCTGACATGGTACATTTTTATGAAATGAAATGAAAATGAAATCAAATCAAATGAATATTTATTGCTTAAAATGTAGTACATATGTGGCAATGGAATTATTAATCCACATTACTAACAATCCCCTTACGTATTACATGCCCATATCGTATAGATTATTTGTGACAATCAATTAAAATTAATCTATAACCATTACTCAATATAACAACTAGTTGTCACAGTATTACTTAATAGTTTCTTGCAACACAAATAGCACTCGAGTTAAAGGAGGTGGTACTCGAGTTAAGGGAGATATTACACGTCCATATTACTTTTTTTTTTAAGTTATTTGCAAGAGATAGTCATATACATTTATCGCTATACTGCTTTTGCTGTTGACAATTTGTTGGCGAATCAAAACTCATTTAAACTATAATATAGAACTGTAACTACTTATAGCTAATATACTACTGCAGAATGAACATCAAAGGTATAATAACAAAAAAATAATTTACGACATTTTTTCGAGTAACCACCACGTAGTTTTAATTTAATTTATTTCTTTTACATGAACAATCGTTTTCGTTAAATATTCGTGGCGTCATGTACCTTCTTGAAGTAGTTAGAATTTTTTTCTAAATTGTAGTCTCAAATAAACTTAAGTCCCACCAGATAGAAAGTGGCAACCGTTTGTATGCTAGATAAGCACCACAGACATCAGAATATTTAAAATGGAATGTTGGATCCGGTTACGCGGGAGGATGATAAGATGAGAATGATCATCTTATCATCAACAACATGAACCGTCTCCATCCGCGGATGCACCGTTTTATTACCTCACATAGATAAAAACACAATTAGCACTGGGCTAGAGTGCTCAGTGTAAATTCTCCAGCAATATCATCATTATAAGTTCTGAATCGTGAACATTAAAAATCAAAGGAAAATAAACCCTACACAAAATATACGCAGAAAAAACCCACACTCTCTTATAACGTACAAAACAGGGTATCATTCATTACAAATATAAATTCAAGTTTACAATTCCGCCGTAAAAACCCATTATAGTTCAACACACCTTGGTGATTCAACAATCATTTATCATTCACTCGCAAACAATTCCGTTCACTCAAAATGCAGGTGTATAGTAACATTCATTCAATCAGTCGCGGTTACCTGCTCGTGTGAACAGTACGTTTTTAATTCGTCATCACAAAGTTACTTCGAAATTCTTTTATTAAATTCGAATTTATAAACTAGGAATTGTGGTTTTAAAAAGTATAGTGGCACTTTTATAAAGACTGTTTACATAAATTAAAATAAGTGTTTAAGATTAAATTATAGTTGAGAGTTTAAAGTTTTTATTGCAACATTTAGACCCGGCTGAGACGATTTAAACTGTGCAAATACTGTGTGAAATCTTGTGTTTAGTGACAAATAATTTATATCACTTATAAGGTGATCAGATACTTTGCTGGATTGTGGTGGCACAAGTGTACAGCTAGACAACCTTGCATGACCAGTTTTTTCGTAAGTATCGAAAGTAAAAGTTGAAATTCTTTAACGTGCATTGAATTTGATAATGTGAAATACAGTTAAGTAAGTTAAACACTATCTGAATGAATCTTATTAGAAAAGTAGTGTAATTGGTGTATTTATTATACAGTAAATTACGGTTTTTATTGTAATTAATTTATAATTATGGTATTAATTGTAATTAAGTGCCGGCCTGATAATTGGGGTAATAGTAGAGTAGGCAAGTGTCACAATATTGTTGTTTACTACTCCAAGTCAAAGAATAATGTGAATTCGAAATTGAAACATAAATATTGTAAGTCAACTTATTTTTAATTATTCTACAAATTATAACAATGTGAGTGACAATGACATTATCACTTATCCCCCGCTACCCGATTCAATTCAAAACAGGTGTATACCTACTTGGATTTTTAAAATAACTTATTATGCTTTACGGCCCTGGATACAAGTCCTTTTTAGCCAAAACTTAACAACAAGAAGTATTATAGGTTAGTAGCCTAAATATCAAGAGCTCTTAATATTTATTATCATAATAAATATTCAGGTGAACATATTATTATGTGTATTATTGTAAACAACCTCGAAAAAAATTTTAACTGTTTATCTACCTATCCATTTCAATTAAATTACAAGGATTGACATTATAAAACTACCTACACAGTAAAAAAATCTAATAACAACAACTAAAATAAAAACAAACATAAAAAATAGGTAATTGAACGATTTGAACGAATGATAATCAAACATAGTTGAGCAGTTTAAAGTTTAAGTCGTATATACCGTAGTCGTACCTGCATTCAATAACAAACGAAAATCCAAGTTTTTAGTTGTTATTATAAAATTAGTCTTATTGGGCCAGGCAAAGAATGTAGCCTATACTGCCTTGTCATTAAGTTGTACGTTTTTAACATACACTAAAAAACAGGTTTTTATAATCAAAAAGTGGTAAGATACTGTAGGCAAATATATTACGCCATACAGCCACATGTCACAATTAACCTGTTATAATTTGTATTTGTGTATTTGTTATAATTTCTTTGTAGTGCAATAACTCTGAATTTGTAATACGTCATCTTTGTAAAGTAAAAATAATTATACAACCTACTTGTAATGATTAAAGTTTCACAAACTGTCCAAGGATTTATTTGATTAAGGTTTTTTAGGTGCGAATACTGGCCATATAAAAATCATTCGTCCGTATAATGATAAAGTAAGAATACAATCAGAATTGTTTAATATAGTCTACCTTAACTTTGTACGAAGTCGTCTGCGTCGTTACTTGCCTGTATCTCACCTATTTCCATCGCCAAACAGTTTGTTTTGTAAGCGTTTCGCTAATCTCTGAAAAGGCTGGACCGATTTTGATGGGACTCACTCGCAGATAGCTAATATTAGAATAAGTATCTTATCAAACTCCTGGTGAATTTGCCACGATGGGCTATCTGATCTGACCTCATAATCATCTTATCATCCTCCCCCGCCAGTGTATACCGTTAGCGCAGGTGGGTGCACCATTTCATTAACATCCATAAAAAACCCTAATAAAAAAAAAACAGACAGTAGTTATAAAGAAATGGTACTGCCCTATTCTATGTATATACCATAGAGAAGATACCAGTGGCCGTTAGTTTGTTGTTCTACATGAATGGATATAAAAAGTCAACCGCACCAAGTTTCAGTGTCACCCTTTGTTAAATATTATGTTCGTATTGTTCTGCATCTGTGTCATTGACAGCATTCATTTGCGTACCTCAAGTTGCGTGACAGACACGACCTTCGTGGTACGAAACGTTACTGCCCCTAAATATATTATGTAAGATGTACTGTTTTAAAGATTG